CGATTCACCCGATTCCCGATCAGGATCGCCGGTTCACCGATCCGAATAGGTTTTTTGGAAGCCCGATCCGGGTCACCGATCCGTTTTTTAAACCATTGGGAATTCCAATTTCCAAAACGTGCTGCAGAACCAGAATGTTCCGGCTCCCATAGCCGCAAGTTCGAGTAAGCGAACACGCCCACCTCGTCTCCTTGCCAGCATCGTCACCAACTGATAAACATCTAAACTGAATGTACACCTTCAGTGCGAGCGTTTGTTCACCTTCAGTGAGAGCGTCGAGAGAAGAAAGAAAGTAGTTTTCCGCGCAGAGAGAGAGGATGGATTCTTCTAAGAAAGTGCATATTTCTCAGCAAGCCTTTGATTCGCTTGTGAGGGAGAATATGGAAGATTTGGGAATGGATCCTCAGGAAGCTCTCCAAGATGCCATCGATACTTTGAAGCTACAGGGAGTTGATCTTTCTGGTAATTAATTTCATTCATTTATTCATCTACTGCACCCCTTTCACTCCCATTTCTTCTCTCTCTTTCTCCTTGTATTATGCAACCTGCATCTTTGGTTTCACTCCCATTTCTTCTCTCTCTTTCTCCTTGTATTATACAACCTGCATCTTTAGTTCTCTGTATGCCTTATTTCTATCTCTCTCTAAATTTATGGCGTGTCTTCACAATGTTTGCTCGTTCGGGTTTTTAATGCTTTGTATCAATATTCATCTCTCCCTTCCTACTTGGATCTTAGAATGCATTTGCAGATTCGTTCTCGTATTCCATATTAATTGTGGCGTTGCCCATTTCTTTCTCTGTGCTTCTGTGGACCTTTGAAATGCATAGTGAATGACTGGCGGATGTTACGGTAACTGAGAAACTGAACATCATTTCTTATCTACTGCATACACTCTCCCCTTTTCACTCTCATATCTTCTCTCTCTGGGCATAGCCTCATTTAATAGGCATTCTATGATATCGTATAGCATTGGCTCTTTCCCTTGAACCAATGATCAATCTATTACATTCTAAGGCATTGTGTTCTTGTTCTACGCTGATGAGGCATTTCATTGGCGTGCCTTAATTTTATCCCTGCATTAATTTAGAATTTGTATTTCCTCTACTTGGTAGTTTGGATGCATCAGCTCACTGTTCCTGTTTTCTTGATTTGATGTGAAACGTGAAATGTGTATCTTGTCATCTATGATCATTCTTGTGCAAGTTATGCAGATCAATGCTGAGGTATGAAATTTCATTTCATGATGCTATCCGTGTTCTACGAAAATATTCCGTCATTCATATCTCATTTCATGATGCTATCCCTGCTCTACACATGATATTCCTTCATGCCCTTTCTTACTCAATTATGGTTATAAACCATTTTCTTTTTGTACGTACAGCTATTATAAAATGGGCCCCTGGAGTTTGCGGTGCCAATGAAAATCCTGTGATTCAGGCATTGGATAATTTGAAAGAAATATTCACGAGGTTGTCCTCCTCTGGGTTTGAGGCAATTACATTGGCAAAGGGTTCTGATGAATGTGGATTTGAGAAGTTCATAGCTTCAGCTGCAGATCTTGAAGAAATGGTTGAATTGCTCGGGAAGCTTCATTCTCTCTGTTGTGATGAAAAATTGGGAAATGCTTCCATTGTAACAAGGAATGGAGGCGTGGAGCTTCTAGTCTCTATTTGTTCTGATTTGATTCCTGAATATGAAAGACCTCTTTCTTCAGCATTGAGGACTTTGAGTTCAGTCCTCCATGGTATGGAATGGAACTTTAAGCATGCTAATTCATTCAAATAGTTATTCAATCATGAAGTTTTTTTCTTCCCTTTCTTCTCTGGTCATTGAATGTTGATGGCAAAATATTTCTATTTCAGCATTAAGGACTTTGAGTTTAGTCCTCCATGGTATGGAATTGAACTTTAAACATACCGATTCATTCAAATGGTTATTCAATCATGAAGTTCTTTTCTTCCTTTTCTTCTCTGGTCATTGAATGTTGATGGCAAAATATTTCATTCTCATGTATGGTTCTGCACATATACACGTATATGTACACATGAAACCACACTGCCGTCTACACATTGGCACATTCTTCTACATTCTATACACACAGATATATCTTTTCATATTGACATAAAGCTGCATATGTGCATGCACAACCACGTATATGCTTTATGTGTTACATCAAAGAGGAACTGGCAGCCCAGTCATAAGAACCATTGTTGTCATTGGGCTTGTTAGTTTGGCTCCCTCTGGAAAGCGAAATCATAGAGTCTTTTTCATCTACCACCACATCTTTCTAACACCCCCAACCCCAACCCCAACCCCAATCCCATACCTGTTTTTCTTGGCTTATCCTTATTAATGCATTGTTATCACTACCACCAAATACTTGTCTTCTTCTTCTAGTTCCTTTAAATTGCCCTTCATTTTTTTTATGCGTTGTGCTGGTAGAATGTCAATCTTCACCTTGAGTACCACTGATTCTAAATTTATCTTCAAAGCATGGATTCTTTCATTTTACTAGTACTAACATTCTTTCTCTACTAACGGCTTCTCAATATTCTTTCTCTATGGCAGTTTAAGTAAAGTTAGTTCTCACATGGAAATTCCTCTTTAATTGCCTCTTCCCCAAGCACAAGTTGTAATGCATGGATATTACGTTTTCTTGGCTTTTGACGGCACCTACAACCTAGTCGTTGTTTTTGAATGAATTTGAAGTGCACCATTGGTGGTAGCAACTTGAATACAGCTAGTCATATTGGGATTTTGGTTTGTAGAGGCTCTAATTTGGGAATTTATTTACTTCAGCTTCTGCCATTTTGCTGAAAAGTTCAGATTGACTATAATATCAAGTTATCATCAACTATTGGGTTCAGGGAAAATAAAATGAGCCCCCACCTCTAGTAGAATGTAATCATGTAACAAGTCCATATTCGTCTTGTTATTTTAAGCCTAGGAATCTACATGAGAATGCGAAGTTCTATTAGAAATTTAGAAATTCCTTCCACTCTTATAATTCTCAATTGTGGGCAAAAAGGTGAAAGGGGAAATGACAAAGTGGTTTTCTTGGGGATATTATACTCTGGGAATGACATGTTGGGAATAAATGGAAGTCTTGGAGCAAAACTTAATGACTTTCATTATCTTGGGTTGAGTGATATGAACAATCAAGGGGGAAGTAACAAAACATCAATGGAAGTTCTAGGTAGAACCACTAAGGAAGGGGCTGTGAAAATGGTAATGATTCACAATATATAGAGTGATCCCAACCTTTTGAAGATTACATTGTAATTTTTTTACAAAGGGTAAACAATGTATTATTTAAATATTTCTACTTCCTAAGTTTACACCAATGTTTTAAAATTCAGTTGAGCCAACTTGGACTCATATGAGTTACTTGGCCTCACTAGGGTGCCGAGGCGAGTTTACCTATCAAGATTGGGGTTAGGGTAGGCATGTGCAGTACTTGGATGTGTACTGTAGCAGCTTGTCGGAGTACTGTAGAGCTCAAGCAGACTTGCCCTAGTTCTATACTACTTCGGCACACTATAGCACTCTCCTGGGTACTTTTGATCGAGTTCTATAGTACTGTGGCAAGTCACTGCAGTGCTCGCCTGAGTACTATTCATTGTAACTAAAAATAGGTGTGGGTTCTGAAAATCTTCCAACCCCATCCCTGCCCCTTCCTCCCCCTCACCCCGACAACTACCACCACCACCACTTTATCCATTTTATTGAGCATAGGAGCCCCAAGTTCCTCTTTTTAATCCAAATTTTCACTATAATGCTAGAGATTACTAGATCCATATATTAAATTATTAGATTCGAGGAAAAACCATTGGAGTTTTCACATTTTATAAATCAGAAAAAATTGGGATTTTTTGCCTGATTTTTAAAAGCATTGTTCTTTTTTTGAATTCGATGGTCGATCTTTGTTGAAAATTGAGCCTTGGGCCTATCTTTGTGTTCTTGATCCAACCACTGGCTAGTTTAGTGTTCTTGATCCAACAACTAGCTAGTTCTTTCACGAAAAAGGAAAAAAGAGAAAAGGTCATGTGGAATTTATTTTTGCATTTTCTATTAATCGGAAATTTTGCGATGCTTGGATCTCCTAGATACGAGCCGGAAATTTGTTCAAAGAATTATATTGGGGCTGCAAAAGGAAGCTTTGGCAAGGACTTGAAGCCATGATTTGGTTTGAGAACAATGATCTGGATATTGGCCTCGAAATTTCAGGAAAAATCTAGTTTTTATTTAAGTTCATAGCATTAGTTTAATCTTTAGTATATTCAATCATTCTAATATTTTTTGTATTTTTGTTGGAATTTGTTGCATTTTATTGAAAAACATATATTGGATAGATTTTTTTTTCTCAATTTTCTTGTACATAGAGGAACATCTGGATGATTGTGATGTTATGGATTGTAATTTTTGATATTCTTGTAATGTTATAGTACATATTCATTTAGCCTGCCTCCTTTCTATTTGAAGTAGAATGTTTTTCTCAAAAGAACGAATAGTTCGAAGCTGTTGCTGTTTTTGATGGATAAACTCAATGGTTATTTTTTTCTGACTTAATAATATGAATTACATTTTCTCTATTTTTTGATGCATTTAGGATCTATTTTTTGCATTTAATAATTTTTTTTTTTTTGGCTAAGAGGAACTATTTTTAGTTAATGGAATGTATTTTTTGGAATAGGAAATATTTTTTTGCATCTAGGAACTTTTTTGAAGATGTTGAAATACATTTCCTATGGTATGCACCCATTATAGAATATGCGGAGGCAGAGCTTTTTGAACTAGATGGAGCAAGTAAGGAGGCTTAGTCTAGCAGAGATGCATGATCCCCATGTTAGACAGATGTATGCTAGATGTGTAGGAGCTTCTAGCAGTTACCCTCTTGAGCCAGTAATACCTCCCAAGGCTAGGTTTTTTTAGGACCAGACCTTCTAAATTTAGAAGGTCGTCTACATCTTCCCGGGCTTCTACTACTTCTAGACCTTGGTAAGCCCATCTTGAACCCCAACCTTGACCCAACTTCTCCAGGTTTGACCCCAATATGCCCCAGCATTAGCGGAGGACCCTTCATTCGTGCGGGCCGCAAGACTAAAGGATAAGCTCAAGAGGACGATTGCAAGGTGGTTTTACAACACTGCTACCTTTTTTCCTTTACCGAATAATGAATATTACCAAGTAATGATCAAATAATGAATATTATCAAGTGATGATATCAACTATAGCTGAAGCAAGGTCGGGATTTAAGGGCCCAACGGTAAGTGAGCATGCAGGTTGTTGTTTAGATGATGTTGTCGTCGACTAAGATTACAATAATATCTGATGGTTGGAACAATGAGAAAGGGGGAACATTGTTCATTTTTTATCTATCCCCCAAAAGGGACAATTTTCTATTCCAACTGAGATCTCTTCCACCATAAGAGGCTGAGAAACTCCCTATTCCATGACTTGATAGAATAGCAGAGGACATTTGGGAAGAAAATGTGCTGTAGTAGATTACTGATGATAAGAGAAACTATGTGAAAGCAGGGATGTTGCTTATGGGAAAGAAAATTTAGCCCATTGTATTGATCTCATGTTGGAAGGCATAGGTCATGGGAGAGGTGTCATTTTTAGAAAGGGACAAGGATCACAGAATTTATATAGCACGACTCTTTCCTCCTAACCAAAACGAGACAACATTGTGTTCTATAATAGCTCATTGGCTTTACATGACATTAAAGTCAAACCTATGGCGATAGCTGCAATGAGATTGAAGCAGATGGTGGCATCAATGGCTTGAGTTTCTTCATCTTTTGTGAGGAGTCTGGCTGGAAAGGACATTCAACGTATTATTAGCAGCTAAAAAGTCCTTGGATTCTTTTTGACAATAAATCCTTTTCAGAAATGTTATTTTACAGTTAACATTCTCAAAAAAAACAAAAAACTCCTTTATTCTCCTTGGCTTATCCCTCATGCAGTTGGCAGTTATTACTTTGTTAGTTCTCTATGTTTAAGTAATAAGATCACACATGTTCCATCTGTGAATAGTTCTAGCTATTAGATGCATAAGATACATGGGATTGTGTATACTATGAGACCATTTATTTTTGTACAAGGAGGTCACATTCACGTTTGACCATTGGATGTGAAATCTAATAGATGAAAATATGTCACAACATTTGAGAAATTTTGTTTTGGACTTTGTGCCCAAACAACGTCATTTCCTTAACCATTGGATTTTAAATCTAACGGTCAATGATGATTGTGACTTCTTTGTAAATGGTCTCATTGTATACATTTTCAAGATACATTTTTAAACATGCTCTTGTCTCAAGTACTTATATGTCAAGCACTTGCTATGGAGCTTAGTATTAGAGGTATGGTTAGATTATCAGGATGATGTTGGAGAAGGTCCTATTCTATTTATTCAATGGTCATTCCATGCTTAGCTCTTTGATTTTAGGTTTCTTCCTTATGCTTATGGGAGTGTTGGCACCTGAGTCGCAAAGGTTCAATATTGTCTGAGAGTAGGATGATAGGATAACCTTCTTATGATGAGAAATGTTTCCTATAGCTGCTTATCAATGATCATATTATTAGTTGAATATGCTTTTGCTGTAAAGTTTTAGGTAAAGTTTAACAAATACTCTATGCTATCATACTTCTTTGAAAAGGATGTTGAGGGAAGGAATAATGTTGTTGTCATTCTCCAAATAATTATCTGATGCAAGCTATGTTACATATGACAATTATGCCTCCTAGATGGACATGATATTAAATCCCCTTATGTCAAGTAAAAGGAAAAATTGGAGAATACATTCATAGTGGCATTTGTCATAGAAAAAAGAACTCAGATTGATGTATTAAAACTTGAAAGGATACATTTCTTCTACTTTCTATTCATGTCTAGCTTATTTTGTGATTTGTCATACATGTTGAGTTGCACTAAGAAGTTAAGAAACTAAATGGATGGAACGACCTTTTATGGAGTTTCATAGTTCTCATTCATTGTTCTGGTGGCAGATTTTCAAGGAAAGGAGATATTTAGGAAGACGGATGGACCAAAAGCTCTTATGGATATCTTAAAAAAATACAGTCAGAACATCAGTATATTGGATGGAGGTCTTGCTGTTGTCACTGCAGCAGCAACTGGAAATGAGATTCTTAAGGAGTCGTTCATGGACCTGAAAATTGATGAGTTCCTGACACAACTTCTGAGGTCACTGACTAATTATGGCATGCCGAGTTTGTATGATGCCATACGGGCATTGTTGACTGCAGATGATGGTCGTGTCTTGGCTTCTCAAGTGAGTATTGGAGCTTTAAGTGCTTTTCTTCTGTGTGGTGAATGTTTTCCATTGGATTCACAAGAAAAAGTTTAGTATATGTCATCTTGTTATAAAACGTTCCTTTGGAATGTTGACACTTGACACTATTCTAACTTGAGTATTTTTTGCTGGAATGCTAATTGGTGGAGGAACTATTCCATACTCAATTCAAGTATGGTACTGGGTACTCAGAATCGCCGTCAATGTGGATATATAGTTGGTGGGTGATAAGTTGTTGCTTGTTTTTAAGGCCAGTTGTTCTGGCTTCTTCTTGGAATAGTTACTCAATTCCATTGCTCGAGGATAAGTACTTATGGTGGAAGTTGTGCATGAGTATCCAATACTCTACTTGGACTGCGTAAAGCTTATAGGCCCCTCTACACAAGTTGCTCATTTAGCTTCCATCTACTTCCTAAATTGACAATACAAAAGAAAATTCATTGAATGGCATGAAAATAACGATTTGTTCATTTCAATTTCAACCTCCTCATTTGGGTCCATCATCATCGTCATCATCATCTGAGCCTTATACCAACTATTTGAAGTCAGCTACATGAGTCCTGTTCTGTCATTCTGCTCTATCAAGGGCCATACCATCAGTCATATCATATGTCACCATATGTCTTCTTACTACTTTTGTCCATGTCCTTTTGGGTATTCCCTTTGCCCTTTTAGAGCCTTCCACTTAAACCAAATCGTCCCTCCTAACCGGTGCTATTCTAGGTTGACGTTGCACATCGCTAGCCCACCTGAGTCTACTTTCCCTCATCTTATTGCCTAGTGGAGGCACCCTTTAGTTTCATCGGATGTATTCATTTTGAATGCTATCCTTTCTTATCTTGCCACTCATCCATCTCAACATCTTCATCTCAGCTATATTCATTCTATGGATATGTTATTTCGCAAAGTTCCTTGCTCCATAAAGCATGTCTGGTCTTACGGCCGTCCTATGAAAGTTCCCCTTAAGTATATTGGTATGTACGATCACATAAGACTCTAGAAGCACTCATTTGGGTCTATCAATACAATAATTGGTTAAGAGTCTAATGCACCAGATCATGATTGTTACATCAATGGTGTCTTCTCATTAAATGGTAGACTGAACAATGCAAATAGTCCAACAAAGTTCATAAACATTATTCATAAAGAAATCCTCTTGTTTAAGTTGAGCATGGTGTAGCTTACTTTTTCAGGACCGTGAACAAACATGACAAGTATTCTCTTTGGGGGCTCAGTGGTTATTTGATACTTGTCTTTTAGAGGCAATACGGGGAATTTTATCTTTTAGACTCTCCCAGACTGTCAGTGGTAAAGTAACAAGTTTATCACTCGTCAAAATGCCAATAATTGAATGGTATTGGAGTGTCATTCTATCCCATGGTTTACTGTGTCCTATAAACATCTTATACTTCATAAACAACGTTATTTTTTTAATGCTTACTTTCTAATGAGAAATACCTCGCCACAACACCATCTACTGGCCATTCAAATTTGATTGGGAGCTTGAATCTGATTCTGCTAAGAATTTTTCTCTTAGATCTTGGTGCTGCTGGTAACCATCCAAACTGGAATGAGGGCAGTCAAGGTTTCTAAGCTTGAGGTTTATCCCTAAAGAAATCATGCCAACCTACTAATCTCTTTCTCCCTTGGGGCTGTATTCTGCTACAAAGCTTGTCTTGAAAGCGAACTATGCTAACTTACATTTTTGGGATTCTGATTCTAGAATTGGAAATAGGCATCTGGGGGTCAAAGACAAGGTCCCTTGGATGAATGCCACTGATAATTTTCCTCCCCAAGAAACAAATCTGCTATGGACTTTGTCTATATTCCATATACTCAAGAATGGTGCTCAACCTGTCACTTATGGGTAGTTTTGTTCACGTTCATTCTTGGGTGAAAATAATGGAGAAATTAGATGATCTGACATATCTAATCTAGAATATATTTTGTTTTATGTAGATCAGGATAAGGACAAAAAGTTCCAGCAGGATGATGACCTAATTTTCTGAACAATGGCCGGTGGCTTTAAGCATGTTGAATTACTTTTATCTTTTATGGGCTGTAGCTGTATTCCCCAACGTGGCTTATTACTCCATTCCTTTTGACTGGATTTCAATATGCATTTCTTATAAGACTTGGTGGTTTTGTGAGCTGTTTACCCTTTGTGACAAAGAGCCTCGATGCATGATTTTAACCACTGATTCCTTCAATACTGAAATACATTCACAAAGACAGTACTTGCAAATGCTAGAAATCACATTAGTATGAAAATTGTAGATTATGCTATTTTTCATGTTATCTCCTGTTCTAATGGTGCACAAATATGTTGTTGTCTTGACTCTCAAAAGCTCTTTCACTGATTGTCCAACATTTTAAAAAGAATTTTCCTTTGGTTTTTATTTTTTGAATCTAAGGTGTAATTGTCATGGGAAACAAAAACCAATGTGGTTTCGTTGGTAGATTTCTTACCTTCAAAGATAAGATATCCTTATTCTCCCCCATGTGCCATTGATCACATGAGGTTGGCATTGCATTCACAGGTGTAGGGTCAAAATCTAATAGTAGATTGGGCATGTTTTATTCCAACTTGTGATATCGTACCCTAAATATCTCAAGATTAATTTGAGGGTATTCTTCTTGAGCTCTACTTGAGTTTCACATTCTTCCACAGTGTGTAGCTTTCAAATAGTGGTTCATATGTTTACAATATATGAAGAACTTCGGCTTCTAAAGGAGGCAGATTTTTCTTCAAATTTTGACATGTGGACACACCTGTATACAGGTTCCGACTGTGTGATACTTCCAAATTGTAGATTCGTGAAAGTTGTGGAAACACAATAAAAGCTAAGTGTCGATGACCATTGTTATTCAATGGCACAGAAATTTATGTAAAATTGGATTTTGGGACAGACAACAAGGAGAATAAGAGAGACACAAATCTTATTGAGATGTGTTTGCATGGGTTTTTGACAATATCATTGTTGGCACAAGTGTACTTCTAGAAGACCTACTTCCTTTTACACTAAATTGCACCAAAATTGGGGGCCTTTTGTTTTAGGTCTGTTCGGTTTTTTCATTAAGGGGAGGATTGGGCTCACACAATAAGCTCACGGTCGTTCACATTGTCCAAACCCATCTGACTCACCTCTCCTCTTTATAGGATTTCATTCCGGGTCCCATGCAACAAGCTACTCGAGTAGTCCAAATCTTTCCTTTCCACTTAACACCATTTTTGGTCTAAAAGGGTACATAGTTGAAAGCCTATTCTCATCTTTTTACAATTTCATAATTATACTTATCAAAATGATATTGGAAGACTGACCTTAATGATGCGTACGTTATCGAGAAAGACCCTCTTATCCCTTATGGGACGATTTAAAAAGTCATTTATGAGACAACATAAAATATTCTATCTTTTGCCCATTGGAATTGGGAAGGGTAGAGTTGATATTCTGCATCAACCCTCTCATATAAAAAAGTGGAAAGGGTGAAAAGAATGCCTAGTTACCCAACAACAATCATCATCATCTAAGCCTTATCCCAATGATTTGGGGTCGGCTACACGAACCATGTTCCTCCCTTCCATAGGTTTAGGATTCATGATAGGATGTGGCAAAGTTTTACGCTGGTTGCCTGCTTAATGCAACCCACCTCTTTTACCTGGGCTTGAGACTGGTTAAAGGGAAGTTTAAGGTCCTCACTGAACAAAAATAGGAATGCTAAAGGCCAACATTTTGCCACGTCCGAATTCCAACAAGTTTATAGTCTTTCTAAAGGCAAACGGAAGGGCAAGATTGAAATACCTACCAATGGTGTTCTGAGGGGCAATAAAGCAATAACCCCTCATCGCAAGCTTCGAGACGAACGCGTCCACATTTGAGCTGCCCTATCTCTTCTCACTACAAACGGAGAGACTGTGATGACTTATTGTAATCCCTATGTGACACGAGCCCCATCTTCATCACTAAATGACACTTAAGAGTGGGACATACTAGTGCCTATTTGTAACAGTTGTATAGCCTTATTAAGAGTCATCCGTCCAATATTCCATGAAATACCATTAGCATACGAGATTGTTGGATGACCACCCACTTCTTCAATTATCCTGCCTATACTGCCAGAACAAGAGGTGCTCTATAAATAGAGAGCAGTTGATAGCCGAGACAATGACAGAGAAGATGGATTAGCAAGACAGATGGAAGAAGAGAAACAAAGGATAGTAAGAAGAGTAGAGTGGTAGCGGTTTTGTAGTAGCTTCCAAGCGGCGATAGCAAGTTGAAGACTCACGGAGAGGTCCCTTTCCACTGCATTCTTTTAGAAGAGGATTTGGGTTTTCTTGTTTCTGGGATTCCCCTTCTTTCTTTGGAGAATCATTATAATCATTCTTCAACAATTGTCTTTATCAAAGTATGTTTGATTACACAGAGGTTTTATCCTTGGCTTTGTAGTTAGAGTGGGAGTAGTTAACAGGGTATCCACAGGTATCCTAGTATAAAAAGAAATTCCTTTGGAAAGAGCATCCTTGCTCAGGTGATTGTTTAGCTTGGTTTGACACCTTATTGCATCACATTTCATTGGCACATATTCAATTTATCTATTTCCTGAATCGTGTAGTAGTAGCATCTAGTGATTTCTTTCAGTTGTCTCCAAACATCTGGCAACTCCGCTGGGAACAGTCCACCTCTCTTCTTATTGACCATTCTAAAGTCTCCATAAGTTTTGTCTTCCTTCTACTTCAAGAGCTTCCAGTTTCATTATGAAGATATTGATGGTAAGCATATCACCACCTTTGTGGTTGGGATCGTTGATGTTCCCATTGTGGCAAATGCCATGTTTTCCGAGTTTACCAAAGGGTATTGTCACCCCATATCTTTATAGTATTGGAACTGCTCCTCTTTCTCCCTATGATATGAAAGCCAAAGGGTGTTCAGATATTCACAATACCTCTTGTTACCCCAGTTCACAGCTCCTAGGGGCAA